GTTATGGTTATTAAACGAGTACTATTTTTGAATATATTTGTTTGAGCTGGAAATATTAGAAATACACATTTTGTAAACCAAACTCTGAAAATTTATTTTTTGTATAAAAATGAGTTTTATTCTCATTTTGGTTTGTATGATGTTAGGAGTTTTTGTTACCATTGTTCCTCATCAGCAGAGCAGGGATACTAGTTTTTATCTAGTATAAGAAAGCCTTTGTCAATCTTAAATTCTCAGTTCTGGGCTCCTCGAATATGAAGATTCTCATGGTTAGTGGCTGAATTATCACCCTTCAATCAGTCTGATAGCTCCTAGAATTTCCCAAGTGCCAGCTGTGTATTTAAACAAACATTTGAGGCTCTTTTAAAATAATATCAACAAATAAGACATTGAACAGGCAAAGGGCAACTTGTTTTTAAAGGTGTATTTCCAGAGGGGCTGCCTGAGCACTTCTTTGAAAACTAATGACTTTTGTGAAGAAATGTATTTGACATGTGTTGGGGGAACTGATTGAAAAGTCCTATTGCCAAATCAATAAAGGATTAAAAGATGGAAATATAACTAATGCCAATCAATATGTGTATATCAAAAGTCGAGGAATGTGCTATCATGCTTTGAGAAGGTTTAGAGTTTGGTTAGGCTGCTGCACAGCCATTATGGATCACCTTTTTTGTGGCTTTTTCCAACAGTTTCCTATGTTCAGGACCTGACTCTCTGGCCAGATTCCTTTAAAGTCCCATCCCTTCTTGGAGAGGACTTCTACCTATGCTCTCATCGGGGCCTCTTTCCTCTGACTGCCCTGTACTCTTTCTTTTAATCTCTTCCCTCAACTTGATCACATCCTCCCCAGTTATTCCAGGTTAGGTTAACAGAGTTCTCAGGCTCCCTTAAGCCCTAAACTCAGCCAGAAAGGATTAATCTATACATCCCTTCACAGGTTGATAAAGATAATTGTGTTGATGTAATAGACTTCTGTAAGACATTTGACTTAATATCACATAACATTATGGTTTAAAAAATAAGAACTATAAAATTATTATAGCTCACACTAAATAGATTAAAAACTAACTGGTAGATTTCAAAACATAATTGTTAGAGAATCACCAAGTGGGGTGTTTTTACTGGGATTCTCCTGACATCAATTCTTGGCTCAACACTGTGCAAAAATGTTATTAATGGCCTTAATCATTCCTCATGAAGTTTGCAGATGACAAAAAGATTGGTGGAGTGGTAAATGATAATGAGGAGAAGTCACTTATACAGAACAATTTGGATCACTTGGTAAGCTGGGCACAGTCAAGTAACATACATTTTAACAGCGCCAACTGCAGGATCTAGGAACAAAGAATGTAGACTGTATGTATAGGATGGAGAGTTGTGTCCAGGAAAGGCCCCTTAAAAGGACAGATGGGTCATGAATGTGACCTCACAGTGCAGTGCTATAGTTAAAAGGGTTAACAAGAACCTTAAATTTATAAACAGGGCAATATGGAAATGGCATTGGTGAATCCATAACTGGAATGCTATCTCCACTTCTGGTATTAAACATGCAGAATGTTCAGAGAAGAGTCACAAGAATGATTCAAAGTGTGAAGATATCTTATAGCTAAGAGCTTCAAGTGTTCAACATGCTTAATTATTGAAAAGAAGGCTAAGAGGTGACTTGAGCACAGACTATAAGTACCTACTCAAGGAGAAGGTATCTACTACTTGTGACTGGAGCAGATATCGAAGGAGAGTGGTGGATGTCACTGTGTCTCAATGGGTCACAGGTGACAATACCAGATTCAGGACAAACTGCTGGAAAATAGGGCAGACTCACCCCCAAATTGGTGGTTATTCTTCCATAAGCTATACCAAGCCAGTAACAAAAGTAAACTTCTGTCTCACCACACTGGTTAACAAGAAGTCAGAAATGCAGTCTCATTAGGCATCCCAGCCCTTCTTTCACCACCCAGACACCAGACTATATGATGAGTGGTTATTTAAAACCATTTTCATCAAAGGGTTCTTCTAATCCCACATAGCCAGGTCAATATATAACTCAGATCTTACCAAATAATCGCGCTGTTGCCAATCCTTTAGTATCTAATATCTAAAGGTTTATTTCTAAGAGAAAAGAAAGAGGGGAGAGTTAAAATGGTCAAGGAAAACAAATACATACACTCACTGCAAAGTTCTTGGATCAGGTTTGTAGCAGTGATGGAATAAACTGCTGGCTTGTAAAATCTCTGGTAATTTACAAAAAGATTGGAAGGTCCTCGGCCCATTGTTTGGAATGTTCCTTTTAGTGTACGTCCAGAGATCAGAGCAGGAAGGAGTCCAAATGGAGATGCTTCCAGGGCCTTTTATGCTTTCTCCCATGTGGAGGGAAAGCTCTCAGTTTTAGTTTGTGGAAAAGTACAGGCACAAGATGGAGTCCAGGGTCACGTGAGCTAGTCACATGCCCTTGCATGCTTTGATGAATCATAGGAGCAGACATTACCCCATATTCTGGCTAAAATGTCATCAGAAAGGGGGATAAGCTTTTTCTGTGGCCAATTATGTTAATTAATGGGCCATCAACTTGAATGGTCCATTCACAATGTGTTGGCTAGACTGGATGCCAACTACCTTGTGGGTGTTACCTCAGGAGCAAACACATTTGTAATACAGATATATAGTCAATATTCATAACTTCAGGTGAAAGGATGATATATGTATACAAACAGGATAATCATATTTAATAGATTGTAACTTTTCCATTGATACCTTACATGACATACCTGATATAAGATTTGTTGCATTCATATAACAGCAAGAATGATATATATGGTCATATTATAATCATACATCACAATGAATTATTCATTACTTATAATCTTTAAATCAAGCTTGGATGCCTTTAAAAAGTTACTGGGTTTGATGCAGGAATTTCTGGGTGATATTATATAGCTATGCAAGGGGTCAGACTAAAGATCACGATGGTCCCTTTTGGCCTTAAATTTATAAAACTATGAAAGCATTAACCATAGATATATAGAAAGCAAGTCTCCGTGTAATTTCCATACTATATTCTGCTCTCTTTCTGATACAGAGGAAAGATAATCACAACTTAAACACTTGTCCTGACTGCAAATTCCCAGATAGATACAAATAACCGTCAAAGACTATGTTAAATTTTTTATTTTCATAATGAAGACATCCAGAAGCCCCTAGTGAGGAGTAACTTTTGAGCGGATATATAAACTTACTGATTTTTCTCAAAAAATGTTAAAGCTGGAATTGTTTTATCTTGCTTATATGATCAGTTGACCTCTTAGAATGATTGATGGCAAGCTTCTGATGCCACCCAAGAGAGCTCTCCAGGAAGAAATAATTTCAAATTTGTCAATTTATCTTCCTATATCATCTGCTTTGAGTGTCACACTTCCTTTTTTTCCTGGTCCACAGATGCACTTCAGTTTTTTGTAGATGCTATTCATGTTGCTTTCATCTGCAAGATTCCAGAATGCCAACTATTTTCTCTCATTGCTGTCATAGTTTTCATTGCAGACCTACTTTGGTTACTCTACATATTTTCTATACTGATCTTGTGTCTGATTTTTGAGGCAACAGTGAATGAACCAGATGTTTATTTTCCAGTAGGGAGCATATATCTGGATCCCTCTCATTAAATCAGTTTTAATATCTGTTTGAAGCAATCCTACCATCTTTGAGCTGTACAGTAGCTAGCCATACATCTTCTACCATTAAATTGTTTATAGAAATTGCACAAATAAAGTCTAAGAATTTATTGAAATTTGTTTGAACAGCGATACAAAAATTCTGTTAATGTATAATTCGTGTTGGTTTTAAAATCACATTACTCTCGTCAGAACAAAGAATGAAAATAGAATATAATAAAATACTGTAGAGTATTTTGTAAAAACATTTTTGTCACTTCACTAATGAGTAACCGCTGTTGCTGTTTAGTTAGGTTATTACTGTAGTTATTATAATTTTCAATTATAATTGTCTGAAATAAAATGCAAATTCTTACTTGATTTTTCTTTCAGCTGTGTATTACAACTGGTCTGGGAGTAGTTGTAGGAGCCATTTTCTCTGGAATAAAAAATGATTCCAGTGGCATTCAGAACAGGTTAGTAAACATGGGAACTGAACATTTTAATAGGGCATACAAATCACACTGTATAGTTCATTTTGTTTAGATTTTTACTTAGCCTCTGTTCTTGTGCTAGAGCAAGCAGACAGCTACACACTGTAGAAAATAAATTACATTTTTAAGAAGTATCTGTGAGAGAGGAAAAACAATGTTTGTTTGTACCATGGTAGCATCAAGAGACCATAGATCAGGACCCCATTGTGCTAGGCACTGCACAGACACAAACAAAAAGACAGTCCCTGCACTAAGGAGTTTAATAAGATCCATAAGGTTATGTTACACAGAGCAGTACCTAGGGTATATACAACAAAGGGAGTTGATGGACTACATTGGAAGCAGCTTCCGCCTGTTCTCAGCCAGAAGTGTGACTGTTTTCTAACATAAGATCAAAAGGTGTTTAGTTCCAGTAAACAGTTAATTTGCTTCCTGCATCTTTATTCCATTTTTCATGTAGTAACAGTATACCCATCTCCCTCTGATAAATGTTTTTCCTTCCTTCATTAGCTAAAAAAGCTATTTGCATAGCTAATTTTCTTGCTTTTGTTTGTTCTTTCCACAGAGTTGGTGCTTTATTCTTTTTGACCACCAATCAGTGTTTGAGCAGTGTTACAACGATTGAACTTTTTGTCACAGAAAAAAAGATATTTATGTAGGTAAATCCCTGTGTAATAGAAAGCATTTCATGTTGTTTTATTTGATGCTGTATCAGTTTATCTTTAACTTATACACTAACTGCCCCTATCTATCAGTCATCTTTAGGGTCTAGTGATGAATTTGTTACTGAAGGCACAGCTTAGCATTTGGTTCTAAGATAGATGTGAACTATCCCAGCTCTTAAGTATGGTATTAACTCAAAAGTTTAATGATAATGAGAATATGAGCATTGATAACTGTCTGCTTGTCATTTTAACAGAAAAACCCAATTATTCTGGAGCTGGAGGCAGAGCTTGAATAGATTACTACCACTTTGTCCCCCACAGTATTACTCCTGATTACTAGTCTCTCTCAATAGAAGTATAGCTCTCAAACCAGAAACTGGTTGTCATTGTTATACGTTTAATAGATACGATCAAAAACTCTACTGCCAACTAGCGTAAAAGAAGTCAGTTTTCACATCTATGGTGTCAGCAATCTAGATTTCAGGTAATTGATTTTCACAGCTGAGGAATATGGCATTGTTAAAGTGTGAGAAACATAGAACAACTTTTAAAGCTGTGGTGGTGTTTCTGTTTCTTGACTGATTAGGCAAAACACCTATCTTCAGGAAGAGGGATTGAAGGAAGTCACTGGGGCTACACATTTTTCATGGAGATGTAGCAGTTTAAGGAGAAGCAGACTATAAACAGGATTAGGGGAATTTTAGAAAATATTAAATTTTTTTCCCTAGGCCATTCAGGCCCTGTCACAGATACCATTTGAGAAGAGTGAGGCTACTGTAAGGTTTATTGGCTGGATGCAGAATTTAAATACAACTTTCTCTCGCCACAATCAGCTGCTCACATGTAAACTAATCAAATGTTATAAAGTTTAGAGAAACAATTCCTTGATATTTTAAACACGTTTCTTAGAAATGCTTATTCTAGGACAGTGATTCTCACTCACTATAACTGGCTCTGTGGATGAGGGGAAAGCAGTGGATGTGTTATTCCTTGACTTTAGCACAGTTTTTGATACGGTCTCCCACAGTATTCTTGCCAGTAAGATAAAGAAGTATGGGCTGGATGAATGGACTATAAGGTGGATAGAAAGCTGGCAAGATCATCGGGCTCAACGGGTAGTAATCAATGGCTCCATGTCTAGTTGGCAGCCGGTATCAAGTGGAGTGCCCCAAGCGTCGGTCCTGGGGCCGGTTTTGTTCAATATCTTTATTAATGATCTGGAGGATGGCGTGGATTGCACCCTCAGCGAGTTTGCAGATCACACTAAACTGGGTGGAGTGGTAGATACGCTGGAGGGTGGGGATAGGATACCGAGGGACCTAGACAAATTAAAGGACTGGGCCAAAAGAAATCTGATGGGGTTCAACAAGGACAAGTGCAGAGTCCTGCACTTAGGCTGGAAGAATCCCATGCACTGCTACAGACTAGGTGCTCAGCGGCTAGGCAGCAGTTCTGCAGAAAAGGACCTAAGGGTTACAGTGAACGAGAAGCTGGATATGAGTCGACAGTGTGCCCTTGTTGCCAAGAAGGCTAACGGCATTTTGGGCTGTAGAAGTAGGAGAACTGCCAGCAGATCGAGGGACGTGATCATTCCCCTCTATTTGGCATTGGTGAGGCCTCATCTGGAGTACTGTGTCCAGTTTTGGGCCCCACACTATAAGAAGGATATGGAAAAATTGGAAAGAGTCCAGCGGAGGGCAACAAAAATGATTAGGGTGCTGGAGCACATGACTTATGAGGAGAGGCTGAGGGAACTGGGATTATTTAGTCTGCAAAAGAAAAGAATGAGGGGGGATTTGATAGCTGCTTTCAACTACCTGAAAGGGGGTTCCAAAGAGGATGGATCTAGACATGACAGAACAAGAAGTAATGGTCTCCAGTTGCAGTGGGGGAGGTTTAGGTTGGATAGTAGGAAACACTTTTTCACTAGGAGGATGTTATATGGAGATATATACCTATCTCAGAGCCCTGGCTGGGATGATTTAGTTGGGGATTGGTCCTGCTTTGAGCAAGGGGTTGGACTAGATGGCCTCCTGAGGTCCCTTCCAACTCTGATTGGAAAGATTCATAGAATCATAGACTGACTACTATACCCCTTTCAGGAATCTGATTTGTCTTGAGGACCCCCCAAGTTTCACCTCATTTAAAAACTACTTGCTTATAAAATCAGACATAAAAATACAAAAGTGTTACAGCACACTAGCCAGGCCAGATTAACTCTCCTGTGATTTTGTGGGCCCCTTTTTCCTAATTTAAAACAAAATGATCACAATTATGGCATCGAGGCTATTAACGCTATACTAAACTTGCCTTTTAATAAACAAAGCCGTTCTGTGGTTACATTTTAGGCTTAAAACATGTAGAATATAGTTAAGTTAATTCAAAATAGCCTACTTCTTACCTTAGAACAGCTGTTATATTACTTTTTCTCTGGGAGGGACTTTGGGTGCAGGAGGGGGCTCCAGGCTGGGCTGCGGGAGAGGGTGAGGGTGCGGGCTCTGGGAGCGAGTTAGGTGCAGGAGGGGATTCTGACCTGAGGCAGGGGATTGGGGTGCAGGAGGGGGTGTGAGGTACAGGTGCCATCCAGGAGGCGCTTACCAGAGGCAGCTCAGCAGGGCTCAGGCAGGTTGCCTGCCCATCTGCCATAGCCCCACGCCGCTCCTGGAAGCAGCCGGCTGCTGGCACATCTCTGCATACCCGGGGGGGAGGGGACAGCGTGTCTCCGTGCGCTGCCCATGTCTGCAAGCACCACACCCGCAGCTCCCACTGGCGAGTTCCTGGCCATTGGGAGCTGCAGGGATGGTGCTGGGGGTGGGGGTAGCATGTGGAGCCGCCTCCCCCGCCACTCCAGGGGCTGTAGAGACGTGCCAGCAGCTGGCCACTTCCAGGAGCGGCGTGAGGCCACAGCAAGCAGGCAGCCTGCCTGAGCCCTGCTGCGCCCCTAGCCCGAGGCCCTGGGATGCAGCCCCTAAAGCCCCTGCGTTAATCCGGCCCTGTGCACTATTACTGAAAAATTGCTTTTTTCCTCATTTTTACCATATAATTATAAAGTAAATAAATTGGAATATAAATATTGTACTTACAATTCAGTGTATATTCTATACAGCAGTATAAACAAGTCACTGCATGAAATTTTAGTGTGTACTGACTTTCCTTGTGCTTTTTATGTAGCCTGTTGTAAACCTAGGCAAATATCTAGTTGAGTTGCTGTATCACTGCAAGACTGCTGTGTACCCCTGGTTAAGAACCACTGTTCTAAGGCTCATGTAAAAAAGTCTGTATCCACAGTGCAGTCGGTGGGCTACCACCCTCAGTATCAAAGTCTCTGGGCTTTAGCCTATAGCTCAGCTAGCTCAGGTGTAAAGCACTACCAACTCACATAAGATGTTTCTGTTTGTGGACAGGATCAACACCTGTATAAGAGACCAAATGAACTCTGCAGCAAAGATAAGCGTAAACAGGCTTTTCTCCATTTAGTCCCAAGTGAAACTCACAAGAGCTGGTCCAAGAAGTAACTATAATCAAACCACTAAGTCATAGTGACCACCAAAATAATTAAACTGAACATTTGTAGGAAAGGGATCATACCAAAAACTAGTACTGTGACACTAAACTTGAGCAAGGAGGTTTTTGTTTTTTTTGTTTTTTAAATGAAGAAGATAATCAAAAAGACTCTAAAGTCAAAATTAAGGGATAAAAACACTAGACTCAGCATGGAGCTTGCTTAAGCAGTTCATAATTCATGGAAGCGATGCATCTCCCTAACTAAAAGTAGTACCAGGAGGGCAAGAAAAAAGCAGTATGGTCAAATACCAAAGTTCAAGAGGTTATTCAAGCTAAGTAAAGTATGAATCAAAAAATGAAGAGAATAAAGAGGAGCATAAACTATGGAAGATAAAAATGTAAGCTATAAATAAGGAAGACTAAGAAGGGTTATGAAAAGCAAATAGCTAAAGACATAAAATCAAAAAAGGAAATATGTAAGTATATCTCAGAATCAATAAATCCACTAGACTGAAAGGAAATAAACGGAACAATTAAGGAATATAAACACTGCAAAGAAGTTAAATGATTTCTTTGCATCTGTCTTCATCACAAAGGATGGAATAGGGTGCTCAGGTCATCCAATCTCAAAAAGGTTACAGCAGAAATAGAGTGGATTCAGAGAAGGTGTCAATGATTTGAGGCACAGAAAGAGTTTCATATGAAAATAGATTGAAGAAAGTGGGATTGTTTAGATTAAAGATCAGATGATTAATATAGTGCTTAACTAAGGGCTGGTCTACACGGGGGGGGGGGGGGGAGGGGGAAATAGCGTAGCTGAAGTCGAAGTATCTTAGATCAAATTACCTGGGGTCCACACGGCGCGGGATCGACGGCTGCGGCCCCCCCGTTGACTGTGCTACTGCCGCTCGCTCTGGTGGAGTTCTGGAGTTGACTGTAAGCGCCTTCAGGGATCGATATCTCACATCTTAACGAGACGCGATATATCGATCCCGGATAAATTGATTGCTACCCGCCGATACGTACCCTAAGCTACAAAATAATGAACAATAAGAGAAGCTCAATCAGTACTCCTATGTACCCTGTATTATAAGGTTTCAGGAGATCTTTAAAGTGTTTGTTAAAATGTAAGTTGATCACTATAGATCATGGCAGGGATTTAGGTGCCCAGATTCCATTAAAATTAATGGCTGTTGGGTGTCTAACTCCCTTAGGCTGCTTTGAAAATCCCAGTCTATATGGCTTCATTGCTTTATTACTGAAATATAATCTATAATATACATATATATTTCTGTGTTCTAGACATGAATATATCAGTGGTTACTACAGAGTATCTGCATATTTTTTCTCAAAGATAATAGCTGATTTAATACCCATGAGGACTTTACCAAGCATCATCTTCACCTGTATAAATTATTTCTTAATAGGCAAGTATCCTGTAAAAGAAAGCTGCATCAAAATGAACTATGGTCATTCACTCTTTCCTTTGGCAAATAATTCAGTTATCCACAGGTTGTCTGTTTGCACTTCTTCCTTATAGGGTCCTTGTCCCATTTTTTATTTTTTTCCTCCCTTTAGCATAAGCTTATAGAAAACCTTTTATTGGGGAGTACCCTCATATTTATTTGGGTAGGTTGGTAAATAGATTGTTTTGAAGCTACTTACTGTTAATACAAATCTGAAGTTAGCTTTGGTAAGCTTTTACACTGATTTATGCATTCCTCCCAAATTCTGTGTATGCCTTTTTAGGATTTGTCTAATCTAATGGTTATGGAGCAAGAGACCCAAGAGTATTAATGAACTTGACTTTTCTACAAGTTAACTATGTTAATAAATTGATTGGACCAGATCTGCTGCTGAGGTAAATTGGGTAGCTTCACTGACATTAATTGAGCTACACCAATTTACACCAGCTGAGGATCTATCCAGTTATTACTATTCATGATAATAAACAATACAGTACCATTGTGTGGCACTTAACAGGGATTAAAAAGACATCATCCCTGTCTTGACAAGATTACAGTCTAATACGATCAAATCAGTAGGACTGCTCACCATGAATGAAAGTAAAAAAATAAAAATCTTGCTCTAAATTAGGCAAGCATAGATTAGAAGGGTATCAGACAACAGAAGGGGGCAGAGAGTAAACCACATACAAATGAAAATATTATACAGTGATTTATAGATTCTGATATTTTAAAGTATAGACCAGTAGAGTATATAGAGGAGTAGATAGCATGAGAGTAAAAAATCAAGGGTGGAAAACAAGACAAAGGAGTGGTTTTTGAGCAGGCATTTGAAAGAGGTTGTTTAGCATGCAGGAAGGGAGGATGACCTTACTACTCCTTCCCTGCAGCTGGACTACTTCTTTGTTTGGCCTTTGAATTGACTCAGCTTTAGGTACAATGGATATAGGTTTCCATTCTGAATTCCTATTATAATCCAAGATAGTCATTTTCTTTAAAGTGGTGTTCATGCAGTAGGACAGAACACTTTATGGTTGATAATACTCCTTTTCTGCAAATAAAAGCAAACTATGTACTGTGGTACTACAAAAAGGTATGTGCATAGTAACCCATTAAAACCCTAATCTAGGAAAAGACAGACAGACTTTTTCCACCCCCATTTCTTAGGTTTCAAGCCAACAATTGGAGCCTTCTTTATCATGATGGTTACCCTTATACTGGTCGCCTACACAGCCAGTTCTATGGCTCTGGCTATAGCAACGGGACAAGATGTTGTGGCTGTCGCTAATCTCCTCATAAATATTTGCTTTGTTTTTATGATTGTAAGTGATACATTTTTGTTTTTTCTCTTAAATGTTTGTTGTACAAAAGAAATGCCAATGAAATGCCATGTGTAAGTACTTTGTTTATAAAAAACTATTTATATGGGCTTTGAAGCACATCAGCAGAGTCCTCTGGAATTTTAAGAATACTGCCTAATCCTTCCTCTTGATATCAGATCACATTATGGACACATCTCCTGTAAAGTGAGACAGCTCAAGTAAGCAGGTGTAAAAAAGGCAAAGTGGCCCAGAGCAGTGGCTCCCCATTGCTTTGCAAGTGACTAGCGTTTGAGGGGTAAGATTGGTCTCTGACTCCTTAGGCATTATTACCTCTGCAGAATTACATGACTTGAATGGGACTATTTTGCATGGCCTTGGCAAGTAGGGGTGTAACTGCTGGTAGTGTTGCAGGAGGGAGGAAAGCTTTTGGAAGATTCTGTGGAATACACCAGAGCCTAATCAAAGTCCTTGAACTCAATGATTATTTTTGTCCCCCTCCGATATGGATTATTCTTACCTATAAAGAGAAAAATCTATTGGATTGCTCTTCCAGAGCAGATTACGGAGCTTTTCTTTTCCAGGGCGGTGGTAATTTCTGCCAGCTTTGTTTATATTTTTACCCATTGCCTGTCTTGACCAAGATTTAGGCCTTTTATTTCTATAATTAAATCATGTCAGAGGATTGTTGCTGAGGAACTGCTGGATTTCCCCTCTTGAGTTCTTCCTAGTTTAGGATGTCAAAGGTTAGAAAAGGGAAGCTCCAACTCGCTATAGTATGACTTGAGGGAGATTCCAGGCTTTCCTACTGCTGGGGACCAGAGAAAGGCTCGTGTTCCTTAGGACTCTCGTGCTTTAAGAGGAGGCTTAAGACCTGTGCTTTGAGTGAAAATCCTTTGTTTCCTGCCAAAAAACTAGTGACGGCCCAGCAGGCCACTATTGCTCCAGGTAGAAAGAAACTGTCCCGAAAAGATTCTAAGTAAACTTCTGCCTCAAATACAACTCCAGTGCATTTCTTCCCTTGCTGTCCAAGACCATGGAACAACTAAACATCTCGCGTAACAAAGGGCCTAATCCTATTCCTATTGACAGGGAGCAGGTAAAGCCTACGGGATCAGGCCCAGATTTAGGATTCTATACTCATTGTGCATGTGTACATTTAACACTAATGGGAATTATTTCTGTACACTGAATAAGACCTGGTCTACACTAGAAAATTAGGTTGTTTCATGCAGGGTGTGAAAAATCCAAACCCAGGAGCCATGTAGTTAAGATGATTTAAGTCCCTTTGTAGACAATACCCATAAAAGAATTCTTCCGTTGACCTAGCTACTGCCTTGGGGGTGCAAGGGAGGGAAGGATGTTTCAAGTGTAGACAAGCCCTAAGCATATCACGATCTAAAGTGACTCAGGACTCTGCAAAATTCTCAGGACATACTTTTGACTGTTTCTTTACTGTTTGTAGGTTTTCTCTGGCTTGCTGGTAAATCTCACAAGCATCGCATCTTGGCTTTTCTGGCTGAACTATTTCAGCATCCCTCGCTACGGCCTGACAGTGAGTGCTACATTTTCTGTGCATTGTGCTGGAAACACCTTTTGAAAGAGATCACCATTATCTTATAAGAAATAATGTCAAACAATATTATTCCAGTTATAATTGGTAAATACAACTTACACAGATAAGTTCTCCCGGTCTCTTTACATTCTCAGTACAGTGCAGTTGGTCTCACAGTTTCAGATATGTATTGTAATACAAATTGGCATAGCTCAAGAAAATGCAGTCAATAGATAGCAATCATAAATAGCAGTAGGGCCAGAAAAAGATTACTCGAGTCATCCCGATTCTTTGCAGGTTGCAGAACTGTTCTCCACAATACATAATTAATACTAATGTAACTTAAGTATCTGCTATAATGGTGGTTTCTCATTTCCTCTTAGAAGTATGAACAACTTCCTAACTCCTCTGCATTTTTCATTTCTTACGTTTTGGCCATTGCTTATTTCATGTGAAACTGGATAATTCCCTTACTTTATTGCCATAACATTTTAATAATAGCATGCCTGGGTACCAGTGAGATATAGGTAATGCTGAGGTGGGGTATTTAAAAACCGGATTATGTCAATTTCAGCAATAGCTACAAAGAAGGGAAAAGAGAGTGGCTTTCTCCTCCACAACCAGAAAACATAATAAAATCCTGTTTTTTCCGCATGTCTTTCACCTTTTCTATTTAGATTGTAAACTCTTCAGCGGGACTGTCTTTACTGTGCCAGGCATATACAAGCACAGAGTGAGTCTCAATTTCAATAAGGGCATCAGGCACAACTGTGACACAAATAAGTACACTCCTTTCAAACATTTATACAGATTGCTACAGTGAACCCAGTAGTGCTAATCTGAAAGCTGTATCCCTGTTGCTGCTGTAGAAGTGGCCTCTTTTGAACTATACACTTATGTCATATATAACCATAATTCAGACCTTATTTTCTGATTTTTGTGACCTTTGCCACAGTCATGTGTCTTAAAATGATTTGCAATCCTGAACGCAGTATCTAAAAGATATTCTCTAGTTCAAACAGGAATTAATTTAGGGAACTTCTATGACTTGAGCATTACAGATGGTCAGACTAGATGATCACAATGGTTCCTTCTGGCGTTATAATTATGAAATTTAGTAGAGAATACACAGTCAATCTGATCAGTGTTTTGGAGCTGGCAGGAAGAAAAAAAAGAAGTGGCATGCCTTAGAGGCCTATCATATAAAATAAATAATTGAAAAAGCTGAAAGGAATAGATATTGTGGCTTATAGCAAAGAGAAATGAGCCAGTAGTATTATTTTAGTTCAGAGACATTTTTGCTCTGTTTCAATGAGTTTCCATCGTGCAGGTCTCCCAATAGCACTGTCTGTGCAGCAGCAGGCCCTGTGCCTATGGCAAAGATAATGTTTGCACTTATGTCACAAAGGGGGGTATTTTCACAGTATTTTACCAATACTTTAAATGTGATTATCTGAAAATTAGACTAAACTGTTTTCAGTGGAAGGATTTCTTCAACACCCTAGAAAAAAGCTTCGATTTCAAACAGTTTTTCAGATCTTGGCTTACAATTTTGATATATACTTTAATGGAAACTTTTGTTGGTTTGTTTAGTATGTAGTAATTTATTAAACCTGCGTAGAGGTTCCCCCTTGACTACCTAATATTTTTGTTTTTATCTTTAAAGGCTTTGCAAATTAATGAATTTACAGGTCTAAGCTTTTGCCAGAATGCCAATGTGACTGGGGTCAATGTAAGTTGCATCACTTCTAGTCCATTTACAATGTAAGTATGCAGTTATTATAAACAAGTTCTTGCAAGGAGCCCAAGTTCCGTAAACTACAAAATTGAATTTGAGATTTTTTTGTCATTGTTTTCCTGGTGCCACAGCTCCCAGTGGGTCAGTCTCTGGTTTTCAAATATTTGGTGGTTCATTTCAGATAAGTCATGTAAAGCTTAGACATTTAAAACTATTTCAAGTGCTAGAGAAGGTAGAAGGGACAATTTTTAAAGAAAGCATTTGAGAGAACAGGTAGTGATCCTGGAACAGTTTAAGATCTGTTCTTGAAAACCATTTCAGGACATGGCAAGTTTTCCTGTGTAGAAAAGGACCTAACAGAATATTTTTAATGTGTGCTTTATATTGTAATATTAATTTCTTATTGCATATCTAAAATTGCACTTTGAAGAAGATCTCATAGTTTATTACCAAAGAATAGTGAAGGGAAGAGGAATTTCCCTTAGTCTTGGTACTCTCTGCTAGGTTGTACTCAGCTAATCTCTTCAAATTCTTCACAAAGACTTTTAAATTCAGATTTTTCTTTTCTCCACAATATGCAACATGCTAACTTGCAAAATTTGCTAGCTTGAGGCCATAAAAAGTATTACAAGTCCAAGGCCTCTTCAGAGTAGAGTAACTATTTATGCAGGCTGATGCGAACTGAATAGCAAAGGTTCAAATTCAGTATTAGAGTTGAGGTTTGAACCTGTTTTTTTTCCTGACACAGGTTAATCTATCCTTGGTCACCATTCTGTTTGTTTGCATTGGACCAAAGCATTTTTCAGCAAAATTATGAAAACAAGCAAATTAAATATTCAGTTACAGATCTTTACAAAGGATTAACTTTTTAAACTTTAATTTGTATTGACTAGCTGCACTGGAGAAGAATATTTGAAAATGCAAGGCATTGAAGTGTCTGCTTGGGGCATGTGGAGGAATTATGTGGCTCTTCTATGCATGACACTAATCTTCTTTACAATTGCATATTTGAAACTGCGCTTCCTGAAGAAGTTCTCTTAATTCAGCTGAGTTAACAAGCATCTAGTATAACACAATACAATGCAGTTTTGATAGTGAATGGACTAAAAATGTTTTAACATTTTCAAAGATTACATTAAAGATTTTGATAACTGTGTTCAGTTTTTACTAATACTGCTTGCTACCGAGCTACATCTATTACAAAAGTCTTACGCGCCTGGAGACAGCAGAGGATTGCTGACAGCTTACAATTTAGGCCTGGGATTTCCAGGGACCAAGGAATGCTGTAGAAACCCCAGATCAGCAGTAAGGGAGATGTAAACAGAGAAGCATCTTTGACATCCTAAGGTGACAAAGGCTTAGTCTGCATTATTGATAGTGGCAGACAGCTAGCTCAAGAAAGCACTTGAAAAAAATATCTAAACATGTCTACCTAGAAATATATAGTTTAAAAAACTATATAAAGTGAAGTTGGATGAGAATTTAGTTTCCTTATTTAACGCAGATGGGCAGGGCAGTAAGTGAAACTGACTAGGCCTTCAATTTCCTTTGGGTTCTACCAAAGGAGAGGATCAGTGTGGTTCTGCAGCCATATTTTTTTAATTTTTAAAACAGTACAGGGGGTTGGGAAGAAGGGGGAAGAGAAAAGCAACATGTCAAATACAGGACACTGCCCATAATGAGACGGATTTAAATGCAGCCTATTTTTGTCCATAATTCTCATACACATTGGTGATTTTCATATGTAAAATCTTTATTAGGAAGTAAAGTGCTCAGTATTATAGACCAATAAATCTTTGATAACTGTGGAAGACTTGCATAATTAACAGCTTCCTAATAAGACCAAATGCTAATGCAAAACTTTACACTTACTTAGAAGAAACCCTTTACCCTAGAAACAAAGTAACAGTTACAAGAGAATCTAAACTTAAAATGAAACCATAATAAAAAATGTATAACACATTTGTCTAGTTGCCATGTACTTCTTGCATGGCACATTGTCAACACACATGGATAGCCCATGAAAGCTTACTGCACTTCAAAATGAAGTTTGTTATTAAGTAACGACACGTTACAGATATACAGATGAACAAATATAGCTATGAATGCAAACATTTTGGTTTTCATAGTTAACATACTAATAAAAGAAAAGCTTTGTTCGATATTAGTTTAGAGAAAGGTACAATTTTAGGACACATTTAAAGCCACAGTGATAGCTGTAGTGTTTTGAAAAGACAACTTCACAAATGCAAATTTCCTTAGTTCTGCAGCATGATATTGCAGCAACATCCAACATGTCTTGTCTTTATAACAAAAGATCACTTTAACTGAGCACTAGCAACCTCTTTCCTGTGAAGCCAAATTGTTTGGTCAGATGATTGGTTTTAAACTTTAACTACATGACATATAATACTGTATCTGGCATTTTGATATTCCTATGCCCCAACAGACCAAATGCTAATTTTTTAGAGCTTACAAAAACAATCTTACCAATTAGCCAACTGACCCCTTGAAATATACCTCCTACACAGTAATGTAACAGAAGGTTCTGTATACTATTATTAAGGCTTAGATTATGTCACGGAAGACCAGGATTCCATGACTTTCAGAGACCTCCATGACACTTTCCGCTTCAGCCCATGGAGGCAGGGCTGAAGCTATCAGGGACCCTGGTGCTCTGAGCCGCAGTGGGCTTAGGCGGGCCCACCACACAGCTTCCAGCTTCCACAGGCAGTGGGGGGGGACCCCAGAGCTGTGAGCCACAGTGTCAGCAGGTGCTAAACCTCTCCTCCCCTCCTGCAGCCCCCTGTCAGCCCCATTTTGTCAGTTATTTTTAGTAAAAGTCAGGGGCTTCAGTGAATTTTTGTTTATTGCCAGTGACCTATCCCTAACTTTTACTAAAAATAACTGTGATAAAATCTTAACCGTAACTATTTGGATTAATTTCTTATCCACTTGGCAGTGTTGGAGCTTGACCGATAGTCTGTTGGGAAATTTCAGCTCTCAGTAGGGGAGAAGTCCCTTCATCTAAGATGAGTAAGTTACTGAACATGCACTTTCTTATAAATTTAACATAAGAAAAGTTTTGTTTTTATCAAGGACAAGTGCTCTGGTCATATGGAATGTGTCTTGGATGACACCGTAACATGACAACAAGTGCTGGTATATATAGATATGGGAAAACTGCAATATTTGGAGGTGTATTTGATTCAGTACCAAACCAAAAATACTAACACAAAAATATAAGGTACTTAAGGTTAACTACAGGAAGCAATTCCTATAAGCAGCACAACATGAAAGCCACCAGCATCAATAAAAAGGCATGGACATTTTCCTTCTTACACCCTACAAATCTACGCACTTAGAATACTGTGTACTTCATCTGAATATTAAGTTTTCCATTCCCCTTTAAACCTACAGTTAATCTTAAGACAACTGTCAGCTTAAGTGAAGACTCCCATATTTCACTATATCTAAATATATACTACTATCAAAAATAGTACATATTTGCCTCTAATTTTCTGTACACCAAACTCAAATCATTGTCAGTGCAGTTGCTGCTTCAAAGCTCTACTGCAGTCTCAAATCCAGCAAGCCTTCTACTAAAAAGTGCTGATTATACTAAAGACTACAATTTCAAAAGGATGTAGAGTAGTTCCCTACAGAAAAACGTGTACATGCAGAAATATACCTCCAATTGCTCATGCAGGTCAGGTAAGTGCATACATAAGAAACTAATTAGGCCCCTGCCTTTGAATTGGAATGAAAACTTGCTAGAGCTAATCAGAAATGTTCAAAATGTCAATTTCTCTCTCCCCTTGAATCCCCCAAGATTAATTGATGTTTTTCACAACTTATCTAATGTTTACCTAATTTCTGCATGTAATTGTAGAAAGGGTAGGTGCAGTTTTGGATGCGGAGCTCAGAGGTCTTCCTTTTTGAAAATTTGGCCCTAAAAGCCAGCTATGGACAGACACAAAGACAACAATGATCACATTAGTTATGTGTAAATAGAAATTGATCCAATAGAAGATATTACCGTACCCACCTTGTCTCTCTTATGTGTAAAGAAATTCCCAAAGAACTACTTTTAAAACACTAAAATATATGAAGTACTAAATATATGAAGTAACATTCCCTATGTATCAGTGCACTATTGCCTTTTTCCTCTGGCAATAGTGCACTGATATGCACTATTCATATGCTTCTTGCATATGTGTCTACTTCATAATAAAAATGAACTAAACACGACCTTGTTACTTGTTTGTAATTTGTGTTGAATATAATTAACAGGAATAACTATATAGGAAGTCACCTTAATAATACATTTTAGAATAGGAATTTAAGAATAATATTTCCCATTATAAAGCACTGGAAATCTAAGCATTTGAGTTGAGAAGTTAAATGCATTTTTGGCTAACAATTAATCAAAACTTTTAGAAGAGACTTACTTCACAACAACTTTGAAACTAGTTTCCAGCATTATTTAATGGGAAAGTAGATTCTTACAGTCCTATTTTACATAACCAAAATGAGCTCCTGCTGCATAGCAAGCATTAAAATGGGAGTACTTAGAAAAAATCCCAACAGCTGCATTTACTGAATGAAGACAGGGAAACTGTAAAACCCTCTGGCACAGATCCTATAAGTGCAGCCACTTGAAGCAATGCTACTGGTGGATTATGGTCCTAAAGCCAGTGTAGGTGGCAATGGGAATATCACCCTATTTAGTGGGGTAGGTAGGTAATGCCAACTTTACATCTGTCAGCTGCTGACACAGTGGTTGTAAATTAGATGTCCCTATGGCCTACAGATCAATCCCCAGAGGGACACTGGGAGCTTTAACATTCATCACTGTTTTTGGAAAACAAATAGTAAATAGCGTATTTGCTGTTATAATACAGGATTGAAATTTTAAAACAACCCATTGACTAATATTACACATGGATGTTGCTTCCGCCATTCCCTCCTCCACTTCCATCAATGCCTTCTGTTGACTGAGAGGAGGATGGACGGGAATTCCTAGAACGAGGCTGGCTATTCAGTCCAAGTGGCGTTCCCAAGCGGTGGCTCATTTGGGAAGCTGTGTCATCCGATTCCCAACGCTCCAGTTCCTCCCGCACTAACCTCTCCATTTGTTCCCTGTGGATTTCATTGTCACGTCCCAATCTTTCATCCTAAATACAAAGAAGGATACAAACTCGCTGTGTAATCTTCCAAATTTGATTGTGAACAAAATCTGGAAGAAGGTATAAAATATTCTGAAAGACATCTCAGATGAATTCATGCCATAGTGTGGCTTTGTACTAAACCAAGCACTGAACAAGAGGTAAAGGTACTGTTGTAGCAGCTGCAGAATAGTGACAAGTTTTTATACTGTGCCCATCACCATGGTATGACAGAGCCTTCACACAGTGATGTGTTAATTCACTATGATAACTAGTCTCTGGCTGGACTTTGATCAAGTGCTTGTAAATAAACCCAAAATAGAGTCTGATAGTCACTGGCTTAACATTGCTAAGGTGCCTACCTCAGTTATCACAATCCTATGTGTGAAGTAGTAGAAAAGCAAAGTAGAAACAAATGAGCTCATCATCTAACTTACATGGAAAACAGCTCTTTAGTTAGGATCAGTCAACTGACTGCTCAAGTCATACTGGGGGTTTCTTACCTCTGTAACTCCGTCTAGCAGTCTTCCCAACACATCTCTCCTTTTCAGTTTGGCCCGCTCCATTGCCTCAAGCTTTACAATAACAGCATCAATTTTGGAAACAATACTGCCTATGGAATGTTCCATGCGATCCACTCGTCTCACCAACCTGAAGGCAACAGATATTTGTTACTGACATTTTCAAGTCATTAATTTGGTTTTAGCTAATCGACTTGTAAAAAGTGGAAAGGTCATCAGATGACATTTGTACAGTTTTTATTAAACCTACAACCAAAATGACAATGGAATAATTTGTAATTTTCTCAGCAAGGGAGAGGGGCGACGGCAAGTGTAAAACTCTTAAATTATGTCCTCTGTTTTCCTTCTTTTTTTGGGATATCCTATCCTATAAAATGTACAGGAATGGAGTGCTGGGTGGGGCTCACTCAACAGCTGGTCAGTACCACTTCTGGTGTTTGCTACAGATTGTACAAGAGGCACTCTGCTTTCCACAGACAAGAGAGTGCTACTTCCATAGCATCCTCGGTGGAAGATTTTGGGCCTGGAAATGAATCCCAGCACACTGTCACTAAAACACACTCATTTCTGCAATACTTTGAGAGAGAAGAAAAAAAATAAGTAGAACTGTTGTTACTTCTTAAGAGAGACGTGCATTTCCATGGTGAATGAAGGGTTCCATATTCTGATCTGTATGTACTCTAACTGAGCTAGATGTTATATAATACAATCATTTTCTACAATCATAGTCTACAGAAATACAGCATCTAAGTTTATTTTTTCCCTTGATCTAGTTACCTAATTACCCACCCACCCCTCCTGTCAAACAAGTTTCATATAACAGCTGGTGAACATAGCAGACAACCTTAAAGTTAATGGAATGTTTTAAAGTGAAGGGGATTTAGAAAGCAAGTACCAAGTGTTAATTACGCTGTAATATTTCTAATGAAGTTAATCCCATCCCAAGCAAATTAACTGATACGTTCTACTTCCTATATGGAGATAAGGAAAATACATCCGCCCCACCGGCATTTGATTGCGGATATGTTAACTAGTACAGTTTGGGATCATTACACACAGTTACTACTGAACAAGGAAGATGGTCAATCAGGTTCTAGCAACCTTAAGTCATAACCACTTCATTCATCCTTGCTGTGACTGGGGCCTATAGAGAGAGACCATTTCAGCCAAATATACAAGCATAAGTAATACAAATTCCTGCTGATCCTTTAGTTCTATTTGAATGTACAATAACCTCGATTTTTGTCTGATGAAAGAGGAGCAGAGCAGGCTTTTAGAATTAGTCTAACATTGACAACGTTTCTTTCAGGTTGTCAGCCACTGTATGAGCATGGATGAAATTCTTCCACAAACACCTGAGAGCAGAGGTGTTAACTTGGACTCTGGTGTGATATGGCTCATTCTTACAGTAATTACACCAAAGAGGCTCAGGGCTTGTCTACACAACGACTTAGTGCGTGGCAAGCCAGGATGTGAATCTACAATGCACTAGTGTCCTGCACATTAACTGGGTGCCAGTTAATGCACCGTAGAATTACGACAGGCTTGCTGCACACTAAATTGCCATACATATGCCCTCATTAGACACCAACCAAATTAAAGTAGGAAAACCCCATATTTCTTTGAGTGTCCTCTGCACATTCCTACTTTTGGGCTGTGCCAATCAGTGCTGCACTGAATATGCAGAGTCCATCCTGAAGATTCCCAGTTACAGGTAAGTAACCTTCATTTTGCACCTAATTTTTTTTTTTGAGTTGGTTATTTATTTAAATCTGGGAGTTACTATTTCTTTTGTTTCCATTTTCATCCAGGATCCTCTAACAACAACTTTAAATGCAGAGAATAGATTTCAAGTGATAAATAGCTATTTATACAGTTAGCTTTGTAACACATTTCTTAGATTTCATTTGGTTAATACCCAGAATTATATTGGAGGGCAATATATATTTTAAAAAACCCACACATTGCAGCACTGCTTGCACTTACACTTGGAACTCTTCATATGAAACCCCACTAGAGCTGCTACCTCTTCTTCTAGAGCTGTGTCCACTGTCCTCATCATCGTCCTCTTCAGAGTCATCCAGACTGCGAGGGAAGCTTCGACCACTCATTGGACGTGGTAGAGAGCTCCTGTCCAGATCCAGATCCTCCTTCATAAAAAACAAACGTTATCCATAGACTTTCACCTGTGTGCTGAAGGTCAAGGCTGCATGACCTCATTCACTGAACTACCTTTCACCCTTTTATAGTTTTGTTGTGAGTAAATGTTAGGCAACCTAGTAGATTAGTAAGTCTAAATCAAATGCAAGTAAGAATTGGTGCTTAGAAACTCCATTGACCCAACTGATGGTGTTCAAGGTCTTCCAATTGCCCTAAAGCATGACTTACTCTTTCTTTCTCTAGATCATCTCTCATTTGCTGATGTTCGTGTTCTGTCAATTCCTGATCCCCATCTTGGTCATACTTAGTAAATATTGCTTCAATCTCTGCATCCGTGTGACCCTTCCTGAAAAAAAGATAAAATGGACCCCCTTTTTTTTTTTTTTGATGTTTTGCGAAAAATATTGGGGGTGAGGGTGGGGAGAAAAGACAACAAAAAAGTCTTAACTACAGCAAATTCTCTAAAAGCCAAAGAACATGCCTAATTCAGTGCTGCCTATAAGCTTTCCCATCACGAATCCAAGTCCACTAACCATGCTGGCAAAGCTTGGGTACATATCACCAACAGTCTTGGCCCCAGCCCATTGCTTTAGAGGTTTTTTTCCTGCCTAACAGCATCTCTCTCTTTTCTCTGGATTGCATTTAAGACAGTTTCCTCTTATCCACATCCCTAATTGCGACTAGCATTGTAAAAACAAAGAGAATGCAGTATCTCTGTATGATCAACAGGAGCTCTAGTCCTAACTACCATCTGCATGCAGGTGACTCTGCAGCCCAAAACATTTCATGAACTACCCCAGATTCTGCTTAACAGGACAGGTGACAAAATGAAACTTTACGGGACCCCATTTACAAGAGCACTTGAGGGAGGAAAGGTTCTTCATTTGCCTGTCTTTGGTATCAGTGAGAGGAACACATCTACTATAAGACAAACCCCATCCATCCTCATGAAATCCTGCAAGAAAGTCAGACTCAAAGGCTATTGAGAGATCTGGAAAAAAAAAATCAGCTTGCATCCATCACTGGAAAGATTGTTCTCTATGGATTTTAATACCACCTTCATACCATACATATGTCTAAAACCCTTGTCAGAACGGAGAACACATGTTGAATCAAAAATGCAACTGAGTTGCTCAAATGCCAACTTCTAAACCTTCCAAAAATAAGAGAAGGCTAGAAAGAGGGCAATAGTTGGTAGCCTTTTGAGCAGGGTCCTACTTAAATGCCGCTATCATCTTGCTCTCCATGAATTGTTACCAATCCTCTTCAATAATGGTGCCAAAACTTCTCGGTTGATCCTCACTCACCATGAAGGGGAAGGGTCCAACTTACAGGCAACTAGCCAAGAAAAGTTAGTTACCTCATTCCAGCTCACACCATTAGCCATTATTTCTCTCTTCCCCCACCCCTCATTTTTTGGGAGGTTTGTTTCTGCAATGCCCTTGGACTTTCCTGAAACACTGCAGATTTTCCAGCACCCTATTTATTTACATAAAAACCCTTCTGTTAGATACAAAAGGAAGCATAAGTTTTATTAGCAACCCACCTGACATGGAAGCATTCCTACATATTGTTTTTATTTGCATTAATGTACCTTAACAAACGCTTCCCCCCTACTCACACCCTACAGGCCTGGAGGAAATCAGATAGATTCTTTGCATCACAAGTCCCTTGGGAATATTGTTTAAGATACAAAATACTGGTTTCCTTACCCCTTGAGATCCTGTCGTAGTTCATCAAAGTTTAACTTTCCCCCACCTTGTCGCAAGTTCTCTGAAATGTCATCAACAGTAGTTTTTTTCAATTTAAGTTTAATCATGGCTTTATTGTATCCCTAATGGAGAAAATAAAATAAGAGAAAATAAAACTACTTCTAATGGCATACTTAATTTTGTTTTGCTTGTTGTTTCACGTAAAGAAGATTGCTTGCATTCCTGAATGAAGTCAAACCTCATTTAATATTTTCTGACAAGGACTGGAGGAATCATATAATCATAGGAGTGGAAGGGACCTGGAGACGTCATCTAGTCCAGTCCCCTGCACTCATAGCAGGACTACGTATTATCTTCTAGACCAGGGGTTTTCAAACTTCATTGCACCGCTATCCCCTTTTGAAAACAAAAATTATTATACGATTCCAGGAA